GCGGCGGCCGCGGCGGCGGCGGCGGCGTCAGCGGCAGCGGCAGCGGCGAAACCAGTCAATACGGTGGTGGCGGAGGAGGAGGGCGGGGACGAGGCGCGGGCGGCCGTGGGCACTACCCTCAGCAAAACGGTGGCAGGGGGGGAGGGCGGGGGAACCAAGGCTGGATGGGCGACAACAACAGGGGGGGAGGAAGAGACGATGGTCTTGGAGTCTACGGCCCGAACGCTCCTGTGCCGGAACAGCACCAGCGGCAAGGGGGCGGGAGAAGGGGCAGTGGCGGTGGCGGCCGACGCGGGGCGGACAGCAGAGACAGGGGCGGCGGCACTAACGGCAGAGACAGGGACGTCGGTAGGATGAAGGGCGGGGCCGACAGTAGGGACAGGGAGAATAGCAGGAGGGGCGGGGCTGACAGCCGCGACAGAGAGAGTAGCAGGAAGGGCGGGGCTGACGACAGGGACAGGGACAACCGAAGGGGCAGGGGTGGCAGCAGAGACCGGGGCGGCGACAGGGCGGACAGCAGGGACAGAGGCGGAGAGGAGCTGCACCGCAACCCTCCTCCTTTTTCAGGAGGGAGAAGTCGAAACAGCAGCGTCAACGATAGCGACCGAAGGGGCAGCGGCGGGGACGGGTCGAGCAGGCGCAGCGGCGGAGGAGCAGACAGAGGGCGCAGCAGAGACGACGGCCATCGCAACCGGAGCCGGGAGCGCGACGGCGGTAGCGGCGGCGGGGCAGGTAGCAGTCGGGTTGACCGCCACGAGAAGCGCAGAAACAGCAGCGGCGGCGGCGGCGGCGGCGGCGACGACAGGGACTCGCGGGACAGAGGCAGCGGCGGGCGGGATAGAGGAGGGGACCGTGGAGATTCCAGAGATGGAAGAGGAGGAGGAGGGGAGCGCGACCTTGCCCACGGCAGCAGCAGCGGCGGCGGCGGCGACGGACGCGACGATCGGCGGGCGGCGGGACGGAGGGACGGCAGCCGCAGCCCGGACCGGGGAAGGGAGAAGCGCCGCGACCACTCGCGCGAAGCCGATCGCCGCCAACACCACAGCCAAGAAGGATCACGCGGGGGCGGCGGCGGCAACAAGGACAACAACTACAAAAACAGCCCCGGCGATGGCAGGCGGAGGGCGTCCTCCCGAGACGGCGACCATGACGGGGGCAAAGAGCGCCTCTCCCCTCCCAGGCGCAGCTCGCGCCACGATGGTGGGGGATACCCGGATGCCGCTAGCGGCGGCGGAGGCGGCGGCGATTGTGATGGTAGAAGCAGGGTCGATGAGCCTCACGACAGGGCTTCCGACGAACCGGGGTACGGAGACCATGGCGGGAAGGGTGGTTCGCCGGAGTCCGGCGGCGGCGGCGGCAGCGGCGGCGGCGGTGGCGGCAGGAAAGACAAGAAACAAAAGAAGGACAAGAAGGAAAAGAAGGAGAAGAAGAAGAAGAAAGACAAGGATAAGGTTAGCAAGAGCAAGGGAGACGGGAAGGTGCGATCGATGGATCCCTTGTGTTGATATCTTGTCGAGCCCTTATGATAGACCTTTCACTGCTTGTCCTTGAGTGACAACCCTACACCCATTCTGTCCGTCCCGCGAGAAGAACAGCGTTGTCGGTGGTGCGTCTTATATCCCGCGGTTGCTTTTACTTGTGGTGCTGAGTGACCCCCGCCTCGACCGCCCTTGCCGCACGGCGCTTCCCGCAACACAACAGAAGGACCACGAAGAAGAGTCGTCGTCGGCGGGCATTTACCCCTCCCGGCCACCGCCGGCGTCGCCGCTCCCCGCACCGGCCGGCGGCGAGGGTTCCACGCGAAAGAGGGCCCGATCCCCTTCTCCTCTCCCCTACCAGGACGACGACTACGACTACGGCGACGGCGGCGACGGCGGCGGCGATGTCGGGCCATCGTCGAGAAGGAAGCGGAACAAACGTGTCGGCAAGAACCGCAGGAACGGTGGTGGTAAAGACGCAGCAGAGTCTTCTGGCGGTGGCGGCGGGGGTGGTCACGGGCCCAAGACCCGCGGCGTCGGGGCGAAGCTCCGCGTGGTGAGTCGAGCCGGCATGGCGGCTCGTCGGGGTTTAGCAGGTGTTGTGTTGGACGCTGGTGTTCAAGGCGGGCTGCTGCCTGCGCAAATAGGTAAAGTTTACTACGACCGTGGAAAGACCAGGCAGGGCGCACGCAGACCTTGCAAGCCTAACCCTAAAATAGATACAACTCCATCGTACAGTAGCCGATTCTATACTACATCCAGTATCTTTGCTTGCTTAGAAAAACCTGTGTAAATATTGTTGTAGGCGCACTCAACTCCTCTCCGCCTACTGCCGTACACCGCGAAAGCCTCGTGCACTCTTTCTGCTGGTGCTGGTGCTGGTGCTGGTGCTGCTGGTGCTACTGCTGCCGCTGTTGCTGCAGCAGCCCATCGGACGTGGTGTGTATGCGGGATGCTTCGGGAGAGTGTCCCTCGTGCTCATCGCGCATGCCGGACCTTTCTTTCAGATATGGCACTAGGCACTGCTGCCGTGGTTCACGTTCTCAGAATCCGTCTCCTTCCTTCACTGGCTCCGCGAACAACCTCCCCCCCCCTCCACATGTGGGGATGATTCAGCGCTGCCTCCGTGTTTGCTCCTAGGCGAATATCCCCCCCCCCCCCCCCCCCCGGGGGGGAGGGGCAAGGGCTAACACCCACGGGAAGGGCCAAAAGGGGGACCCCCCCCCCCCCCCCCCTGTGGATGGGGGGGGATTGTTGGGGCCCCCCC